AACTCAACAAAGATACCTGAACCAAGACCAGAGACCTGAACTCAACACACATGATTATTTTCACAAATCTTTAAAAATAATTAAGGTGATCAGTGATTATTTATTGCTGTAGGATTAATAACATAATGTTTTTTTAATGTTCAAAACTAAGACAAATATATATTTTTTTGTAATTTCATCAAACCAAAGACACAAATCAGTTTTTATTTTATTATATTATAATTATATAATACTTTAAAATACTTTGATTCCTTCTGCCTCCTGCTGAACAACTATAACTCTGTTGGAACAGAATACACGTGCTCTCAGACATTAAACATTGTTTAAGATTATATTCAGTTAACTTCTTAATTTTTTTTAATTATTTTCTTTAATTATCTGAAAGAAACAACAAAGAATCAAAAAAGAGGCCACGCCTGTAAAACAGGCTCACGTGACACAAAACGTAGAAAAGTGATTGAAGAAAGAAACGTGAAGTTTGAGTTCTCCTTCTCCTGATAACGTTCTTTTCCTCCTGCAGGATTATCTGGCTCACATCATCGATCAGTCCAACCTGTCCATCCATCCCGAGCAGGTCTGCGCTCTTTTTGGGAACATCGAGGACATCTATGAGTTCAACAGGTGAAACCTTTCCTTCATGGTGGATGATGAGCTGCTCAAAGACTTTACTTACAACAAAAGTGATGGAACAGTTTGCAAGATGACAGAGGAACAGAAAAAAAAGTTGTGATGTTGTTCTGTGGCGTTGTCATGGTAACTGCTTCCCCTCCACAGCGAGCTGCTGCAGGATCTGGACCTGTGTGACAACGACCCCGTCGCCATCGCCAGATGTTTTGTTATGAAGGTGAAAATATAACGAGATGATTTAAAGACAAAACGTTCATGTTCAAGTGTTTCTAGTCCCGTGGGAATTTTAAAAGTTGTAACATTTGGCCTCATATTCCTGTTTCAGAGCGAGTACTTTGAAATCTACACACAGTACTGCACCAACTACCCAAAGTAAGTCCTGACAGGCTGCTGGCTTTGCACCTGTTTCCCGTCTGTGCACACCTTGATTTTTATGTTTTTATGTTATGATGATCAGTTTATTCATTAGATTCTTCTTGTTCACTTGATTTTCACCTGATCACACCTGCTTTGTAGTATTTCTCTTGTTCTTACCTGTTCATGTCATTAATTTACTTATTAAACTTGTGTACTCATCTAGAGTACCTTTTCACATCTGGTTTACACCTTTCGCATTTTTATTATTTTTATTATACACCCATCAAAGAAGAGCAGTGTCTATATTACTTTTCCTTGGCAGGGCACTCCTCTTGACCAGGGTGGGTGTCTTTAGCTAGCATATCTGTATTGAATGCTGCTAGCTTTTAGCTAGTGTGTCTGTAATGTGAGCTGCTAGCTTTTAGCTAGTGCGTCTATATTGTGAGCTGCTAGCTTTTAGCTAGTGCGTCTGTATTGTGAGCTGCTAGCTTTTAGCTAGTGCGTCTGCATTGTGAGCTGCTAGCTTTTAGCTAGTGCGTCTGTATTGTGAGCTGCTAGCTTTTAGCTAGTGCGTCTGCATTGTGAGCTGCTAGCTTTTAGCTAGTGCGTCTATATTGTGAGCTGCTAGCTTTTAGCTTGTGCGTCTGTAATGTGAGCTGCTAGCTTTTAGCTAGCGCGTCTGTATTGTGCGCTGCTAGCTTTTAGCTAGTGCGTCTGTATTGTGAGCTGCTAGCTTTTAGCTAGTGCGTCTGCATTGTGAGCTGCTAGCTTTTAGCTAGTGCGTCTGTATTGTGAGCTGCTAGCTTTTAGCTAGTGCGTCTGCATTGTGAGCTGCTAGCTTTTAGCTAGTGCGTCTATATTGTGAGCTGCTAGCTTTTAGCTAGTGCGTCTGTATTGTGAGCTGCTAGCTTTTAGCTAGCGCGTCTATATTGTGAGCTGCTAGCTTTTAGCTTGTGCGTCTGTAATGTGAGCTGCTAGCTTTTAGCTAGCGCGTCTGTATTGTGCGCTGCTAGCTTTTAGCTAGCGCGTCTGTAATGTGAGCTGCTAGCTTTTAGCTAGTGCGTCTGTATTGTGAGCTGCTAGCTTTTAGCTAGTGTGTCTGTATTGTGAGCTGCTAGCTTTTAGCTAGTGCGTCTGCATTGTGAGCTGCTAGCTTTTAGCTAGTGCGTCTATATTGTGAGCTGCTAGCTTTTAGCTAGTGCATCTGTATTGTGAGCTGCTAGCTTTTAGCTAGCGCGTCTGCATTGTGCGCTGCTAGCTTTTAGCTAGTGTGTCTTTATTGTGCGCTGCTAGCTTTTAGCTAGCTCATCTATATTGTGAGCTGCTAGCTTTTAGCTAGCGCGTCTGTATTGTGCGCCGCTAGCTTTTAGCTAGCTCATCTATATTGTGAGCTGTTAGCTTTTAGCTAGTGCATCTGTATTGTGAGCTGCTAACTTTTAGCTAGCTCATCTGTATTTTGCGCTGCTAGCTTTTAGCTAGTGCGTCTGTATTGTGAGCTGCTAGCTTTTAGCTAGCTCATCTGTATTGTGAGCTGCTAACTTTTAGCTAGTGTGTCTGTAATGTGAGCTGCTAGCTTTTAGCTAGTGTGTCTGTAATGTGAGCTGCTAGCTTTTAGCTTGTGTGTCTGTATTGTAAGCTGCTAGCTTTTAGCTAGTGTGTCTGTATTGTGCGCTGCTAGCTTT